AAAAATGCATAAGTTCAACATTAAATGTCTAACTATGCAATGCTTTGTACTTTGTTATGTTGGAAACACTGGGATCTCAATGTAATAATGATTGCAATTTATTTTCAATCATCTAGGAACACGATCCAGTTAAGGGGCAGGATCTAACAAAGGTCGACCAGGACTATAAGGAAGTAACAATCAACTATCTTCAATTCAATGTTATTGTATGGGTTGAGAATCATGTCAATCAATACAAAGATTTATCTCTAGGGCACAAGGGTAAAGTCAAGAAATGAGCGTGTTGAAGCAGTCAATAAAGACATTAAAATCTCTAATAAACACATTGGAGGCTGTTCAGTTTGAGTAAGCACTGAGGCCCGGGCTTGGGAAATGATTTTATACACTCCTTGTCTCACTTCTGGATTATTTGACAAGAGGAAGGATTCTATACACATGGGTCACACATTTGGTTTGCCGTTCCTTAAACAATTCGTGTGTGGCTCAGCAGTCCAAGACAATAACTCCACAAAAGGAGGTCACAAGAGAGATGACTTTTTTCCAGAAAGGGTTGGTCTTCAGCTCTCTGTTTGTCCAACTCCCCAGGAGAGACTGCTTCCTGCCTGTGTTTTCAGTGAGACATGAGGAAGTCTTCATTGAGAGAAGCAACAGGTCAAAGACCAGCAGCTTGAGATATGGAGTTAAAAAACATCCCTAAAAACCCAATTCGCAAACTAGGACAAATTGAGTCTGGATCCTGCCCAGGCTGAATTGTATTGTTCTTCCAAACACCAGAGAGATGGAAGACCAGGCCTTTCACTCAGGAAACATATCCTCTCCCTGCCCTCTGTCCAGGGGAAAGGCCAGATTAAAGTGTGTGCATCTGTCTGTTTGTCACACAGCACCACAGGCTCCAAAAGATGGATTGCCAAACCTCCAGGCCCCTTATGTTTCAGGCCAAACAACATGACGAGCAGGGAGAAACACCAAGAGCAGGCAACCGAGAACATCCTCATCCCAGCTGACGAGCCCCAGGCCTCCTCTCAGCGAGCAAGCTGTCCATTAGAAAAAGGAAACACGCATGGACAGCATGCTGCCTGGTCAACTTGGGACTCATCTTTGTTTGTCTGGAGGCCTCACATTTAAAGCCACAAAGCAGCAAGAGTTGCTTGAGCAGCTTGGCCAGAAATGGTTTCAAACCCAAGCTTAACAATTGTCCCCACAACTGTTATAGATGTGCACAGGCTTCAGGGTTTCTCTCATGTATTCAGAGTCTTTTAATAAAGGAGAATAGGTAATAAAGAACAAAGGGTGCTCATTCACAAAGCAAATGCCATGTGTAGATTCTGTTTATTCATCGACGGAAGTAAATTGATCCGAGAAAATGAGATGCCGCCAGGGATCAGAGCGAAGGCAGCAGATGGGGCTTAGCTGATCGACAACCTTGAATAGTGCAAATCAAAGAGAGCATGAGCAATATTGCCGGGCTAACACTGCATTGACCTGGACTTACTTTACATGCAGGTTGTTTAAAGAACCACCTTAGGTTCACTTGGGGATTTGTAAATGCTTCTTTTTATGGTATGGTAAAGAACTGGTTGCATTTTGATCACATTTCTAATCCTTGAAAAAACATCTTCTGACACAATTTCAGATTTCTTTTTTTGGCATTGAACATTTATTGAAACTACTCATTAAAGAAGTGAAGTGCTGCAATATTAACATGCACTTCAGGGCTTTATTCACAGTTTTCTGCATGATTGCTTCTCCAAATCTAGACACAGAGGACTGCTGTACTGTAGCTAATGATCAGAAAATACTTTGCTAACAGAAATACTGGCAGTTAAAACCAATACTGTCTACTCTAGAGCATATGCTACTTTCCTGCGGGTATTTTGTCGACTATTTCCCATGAGGCCACACTTGATGATGAGGGTAACAATGAAAAAGTCTTATGAGTTCATATTTGAGCTGCCTTCATTTATGCACACTAAAAATTGTGTATTGATGCTGAAAGTCTAAAGCAATCGGAGGACAGAACAAATCAATATTCCTACTTGTATTTTTCAAAGTGAAAGAAAAAGGCAATACAAGGGTGCCTGGATTAAAATGGCAGCATTTCCACATGGAGAAACCTTCGATTCAAGGCCGATATCTTTTGAACCATCATTTGGAGCTCCAGTTCGAACGGTTGACAAGTTACTCGAGGCAATGTGCACCCTTTCAATAACAGGAGGTTTTCAAAGGGCTAAGGAAATGGAGGGGTATTTGAGACCTACTGTATGAATCCTGCTTACCCGGTCATTTATGTTAAAGATGAGACATACCACACACAGCTCCATATTGGCTCTGTACTATCAACAATCGTTTTCACCATGTTCCAGGCTTTCTAAATGTCATCAGGGCCACCCACACTACACAGAGGAACTTCAGAGTAAGAACCAGTGCTTTGTTAGAAACATACATATGAAAGAGATGACCTTTTCCGATATAGACAAGGTAAAAGCTTCAATGTTGCCTGGGTTTTATCTTGACACATGCCACTTGAGAGTATGATGAATTGTCACTATATCAGGAGAAAGAATAAAGAATGAAGTCTAAAGTTCACAAGTATTTGCACGTTACAGTTATTGATTTCTCGTGAATGTTCTGGTGTTGGTGTCCATTTGATTTGCAAGTCTAGAATATCTGAATTCTTTGTAAGAATATGAAATAAACCAACTGATATTTGCTGTTGGTATTCACGTCAAATGGGTATAAAAGGGCACAGATTGCTGCATAAAACCTTCCGTTCCATGTGTAGTTTATTGAGGACAAGTTTAATTCCCTAAAGCTATTGACTGAGCTTTATAAGGGAGGTTTGGTTTGTCGTGCCAACACTATTAAAACAGGGAACCAACTGAAGGTTAAACATAAGACCTTCAAATGTCAAAACCTTCTGTAACCTTCACAAGTAAGTCAGTCACCGAGCCAAAACACTAATACAGAGGCTTGGGAGATGTGTTTTAATTAGATAGATTTACTTTTTTATATTGTTTTTATCCTTTTTTTTTATACATTGAGTTCACTGAGGATGATATTAGTTTTGCAATAAATAAGCAGAAACATCGAAAACGTAATAATTTGAAGCAGTTTGTGATAAATCTTCATGCACTTCAGCCGGCGACCTCTACTACTCTTCCCATTACACTGTAGGGTGATGTGAGTTCAAACACACACTGAGCATGTTCCTTTCTCGATAGAAATGATGGTCTTCAGCTGTGCAGCACACCACGCTCGTGTTCGGTTGCTGGCGCTATTTATTAACAAAGACCAGAGAAAACAAAAAATAAATCCGGGGGTTTAAATCAAATCATTTTATTCTGGACCACCGTTTTTTTCTCCCCTCCTCTACTGATGCCAGCTGTGTTTGAACAACTGGATTTCATTGGCGGCATGCAGCCAATCTGCCAGCAAACCTCAGACTAAAAACCCTCACTTAATGTCAGCACAGCAGGTTCGGTTCTGGCTCTGGTGCTCTGATCCGCAGAGCCGTTCAAAAACACACATGCTCTTCAAATCCACTTCCTATTTACTGTTCTACTCGTCAAACATGCATGGCAAAAAGTACCGTCTCATTTCGTTTTGGAATACGTTTTTTCGCAGAAGTGTGTGAGAATACACAGATTATGAAATAACAGCTCTTGTTATCCAGACTAAGTGTAAGTGTAGAGTACATTCTGACAGACTGGTATTTTATATGAATGGAGGTTTGTTTCAGAAAGCTTCTCCATCATGTTTCAGCTCATTAAAGAAGGATCTACAGTCTACTCTCTATCTTCTCTATTGTTTCCTCTTGGCTAGGGGTTTGAAAACAACTGTAGACGTTACATTTAATGCTGCTGGACATCTATGACAGCGATAATATGAGGACCATGTGGGCAATGCGTGGGAATGCAAGGTGTTTTTCCACCCTGGCTGATCACAGGGGAAGAGTTTGGTTCCCGTATGGAAATGAAATGTTTTCACGGCACGAGAATGTAATTCCATGCTATAAATGGGGCTGGTGAAAATGTGACAATCTGCAAGTCAGCTTTGCAAAATCCCCACCTGTGCAAAGTAGGAATGTTATTCAAATGAAAGAAAGCCTGAGCGTGATTTCCCCCCAAAAAATATTTTCAAAGTAGGTAAGCCATAAAATTGCGGTCGCTGGTGTTGAAAGCTTTGTCCCACCGTCTGCAGGTGGAATTTACATATATTAAGTCTTGAAAACAACTGAGATTAATGGCTGACTCTGACATAAAATCCCATCCACTCTCTCTCTCTCTCTCTGTCTGTCTCTTTGCTTCCCTCTCCCTTTTCCTCTATTACACAGACAGCTCTGCTTGTTCCTGGTTGCTCATGTGTGGCAGCAGAGCTGGATGGAAAACATATTGCACCATCAATCACGTCCCATTCTTCTCAGCAACACATTCGACTCGGAGCTTGTCTCAGACCGAGGCCAAGTACGAGTTGTCTTGAGTAAAAATGCAAAGATGACACGCATTCCTCTGAACAGATACAAAGCTCTGTCAGACTGCTCCTATTCCGATAACCTGATCTCTTTCAAATGATGTTCCCCTTACTTCCTGGTCCCTTGACTGACACTGCGTTGACAGTATCTTAATATACACAGAGAGGAGTGAGTGCCGTGTTCAAACAAAGCCTCCTTCTCCCCTGTGTTATGCCAACAGATCAAATGAAAAGATAGAGGGAGAAGAAGGAGGAGGATGTCGGTTTTCATCAATGTCTTGCTGATGTATTCAGGAATCCCTGTCTTTCAAGTCTTTGTTTCAGAACAGCAAAAAGACCAACGCATGGAGAGCCATGCCCACAGTAGTAGTGCAGGAGAGAAAGCTTTTCTCTTTGCCTTGTTTTGTGCGACACACAACTTGGCAACAGCCCCAGTTGTAGCCCCTGGGCAGTGCATATGTCCCTCATTTGTACTCCAAAAAGCACTCACTTTCGTGCAAGAGCCAAGTATGAATGGAGGGAACACTTACTCGTTTTTCTCCAGCGCCAAGAGCAGCTGCTCACCTTCCGCTTCAATCAGGAGCTTCAGTGATGCGGGGTGACTCTGAAGAGGAAGCAGACAGGGGAGGGGATGAGAAAGATTGGTTTACGGACTCAGACAGACACTATTTTGGTTGATGGAAGATGGTTCTCTGGTAACAAACATGGTTTAAATTTAAGAAAATTAATGAAATGTGCGGCAAAACAGTTCTTAAAAAGCTTGATTACAACCCTAGAAAGCCACCCAGTGCTGTAAGAAAAAACGCAAGAAGGCTGTTTTCAATTGAGTGGTTGAGAATCATGTGAAGCGACTTTATATCTTAGAACAAGAGCTGAGAGGATTAGCGTTATGTTACTATTCCATTTGACATTAATCCCGCAGAAAGCCACGAGTCTTCGCACCCCTGAGTTACAACACTGAGAGGGACCGCGTGTCTCCGTTAGAGTCGCATGAAGTGGCACCAAGTCGTACATCACTACTGTCAGCCGCTGTGCACACGCTCGCACGCACGCTCATATGTCATAACCTCTCTCCTGTTGTGTCTCGCTCAGGCACAAAAACACACTGTCTCACACACCTTCTCTAGGGATCAGCAACAACACACACAAATATATTTCACACACGTAGTTCAATCTGGGTCAACTGTGGCAGAGATCGCTGCTCTGGGTTAAGTCCTCCATCAGCCCCCGGGGAGGAGAATGTCGAGTGGATCATAAGAGGATATGGAAGCAGACAGAGGAGGTTTTAGGCAGTATCATTGCACAAGCCATGGGACCACACTTCCTGCTATTTTCAGTTCAGACAGCTCTCTCTATGAGGCACGCTTTGACCTCACACTGAGAATGTTTAGGACATTTATAACTTCAGGGAAACATACACAGCACACTGCATGTTTGGGCTTTTTATTAAGGGAGTAATATATTCAAACAAAACACTTCATTTCACCTTCATTTTTTTCTTTAGTTCTCTGTTTTGCTTTGTTTTTAGGGTAATAACATCCCAGAGAAACCTTGTGGCGCTGTGCCTGTTTGGTTAAGCCAGAACAAATTAATTCACTAATGAATTGACTCAATAACACAACCTGGAAACTCGAGCTGTGTTTTCTAAGTCTGCCTGGCAGCCATGTACTTCATTTTTACAACGTCTTGGATTATAACACCAAACAGAGCCAGAGATCCCACATTTCAAACATTTCATTAATATTCCAGTGGGTTTGTGTTGTTTCCCGCCTTTTTTAAATGGAGATATTGTGCAGCCATCTGTGCTTGAAATGTAATGACTGATATCTCTGGATGAATATATAATATAAACCTTTAACTGCTGACACTTTCATTACATTCAGACTTAGATGCAGTTTGCAGTGTGATCACAATCTAAAATGAGTTGATTCAAGATGTATTACTTTAATTTGCATTTCAATCTAATGGCGCATTTCCACTACAGCGCGGAGCGCGGTTTAAGCGTGCCGTGCCCGGCCCGTTTTGGGTTGCGTTTCCACTAGGCGTAGTTCCGGCTAGCGGGTACTTTTTCACAGTTTTTCTCTCTCCAAAATCGAGGTTCTTTCCGGGCCAACAACCGGGCTGAGTATGCTAAACTAGTGAGAGAATCGCTGGCAACTACAACAAAATTAACATATTTTACCGTGATTTAATAGTAATACACGTTTCAAAATGATGCCGAAGTAACAACATACTGATACCGGTTAGTAAAAACCATGAATTAATGCTTTGACAAGTCTGCAGACAGACGGCAGGCGAAAAACCTTTTAAAATGCGTGTTTTCTGAATGAGATCAGCTAAGCTAACGTTGTATATGCTCCGACCGTCCACACTCACAACAACGGCCTATAAAGACATAAATAAACCAGCGACTGTATTCGCCATGACACACACAGTCTGTGGTTTGTACTTGTTTAACTTTGTCTAGTTTCTGAACAGACAGGAGCTGTGAGCTCTGAGGGCTAACAGTTAACGGCTGATGTTGGTTTTGTGTTTCGCATTGAAGATGACGTCACGGCTCCGCCTACACTGCGTTACTATAGTTACTACCCCAGTTCCTAAACTGTAATGGAAACGCAGCATAAAAAGGCCTAACTATACCATACTAAGCCCTTTCGAGGCCCTGCAGTGGAAATGCGCCATAAGCAACAATTCTCAAACTAAGATTAGTAAAACAAACAAAGTCTTCCAAAACTGAATAATGACAAAGGTGTCGTATTATAGGATTACATGACCTAAATTCAGAATCTACAATCTTTTCCTTTCACAAAGTCAATTTGGAGCCACGTATTGTTTAGTTCTTAATTCTGCACTGTTAACTTTATTAAATGTCATCATGAGTTAATCTGGGTTTGAGTGTTTTTGATGATCAGGATTTAAAACATTTAAAGGTCCCATGTCATGGCCATTTCTACTGATCATAATTCCATTGTTGAGGTCTACTAGAATAGATTTATATTGTGCAATTTTCCAAACTCACATTGGTTTCTCATACAGCATCTCTGTATGTGTATTCACTCTCTGTCCTAAACGGCTTGTTGGAGCTCCTGCCCCACCCCTCCCTGTGAGCCCACTGCTCTGATGAGTCTACCACTATGGTCTACCACCGTTACAGCGGAACATCAGTGATTATGTGTTACAATGGCGTTAGCAACCAGAAAATGACACCAGTAATGACAAACAGATGAGAATGCTGCGTGGGGTCTGGGTGCCGTGTTGGCGGGACGTTGCGCGGCTCGCTGCTGCGAGGAGTGGACAGTGTGAGCTGGGTTCATTTGCACGTCACTGTACCCAGGAAGAAACGAGGCGTTCTGGGGCAGCACAGACAGGTCTTTTCTGTGTTAGAGTTTTACTCGCTACAGGGTGTACTTTGAGGGTTTGTGACTTTGCAGACCGTTTACATGCATAAAAACCTACATAACACACAAGGGGATGGGTAATAACCGGAAAAGTTTGACATGGGACCTTTAAGATATGAATTGGTGGCCAAAGTTCAAATACCTCCTTTTCCTGGTAGGTTGCAAAACAAAAACAAAGCTGAAAGCATACTCAATCCCGCTGTGAAATCCATATCCAATCCTGTCTGAGTATCATAAACCCATGGTGGGGAAAGAAAAAACGCTTTTGATGGTCCACAGAAGAAGCTCTGATCCTCTAGGGAGCAGAGGAATCAGCCTTCTTTTTTTTATATGTCAATATATTCAATATTTCTTGTGAACAGGTTGATATTCTGACCTTATGGTGGCAGTAAATGCCATGAAAATTCATTTTGACTTGATGGCACTGAATCCAAGACAAAATCTTTCTAAATCAGAAGCAGGCGACAGTGAATGTATATGCTAAATGTCATGACATTATGTCAAGAGAAGGACAGACAACTGGAAGTCTAACATATTTTAATCAACTGCTATTGTTCACCTGGATTGGGAGCTGGCTGGTGGGTTTCCATTCTTTTCCAACAAGCTGAAGAGGCACTGTAGTCCCATAGTGTTTCTGCTTTGCTGTTGGTCTGTGTTGAACAGTCGTGCTCAGAAGACTCCCTGTAAAAGAAAACATAAATACCACATGAGAATACACAGAAAACTTCCAAGTGTTCCTCATTTCTTCCAAATACTCTCTGCATCTGTTAAAACATCTTTGTGGACACAAACGATAGGAACATTTTCTAAACTGATTTTATACAAACAATACTGATAATGAGTTCCTCCCCCCTATTAAAGGCCTGAGCCTGGTGTCCATTACCAACATCAGAACACAACCTGACAGTTCAGCTGCCATGTAATATCAGTTAAACAAAATCACAGCACTTGTATTTGATGGCTTTTCTGAGTCACCGCACACGAATAATGCTTTTTCCATTTTAACAACCAACAATTATCTCCGCTGAAAAATGCCATCGCCAATACGTCTTTCCTGGACATATGTTCAACTCCTTTTTATAGGATGTCGTCTCCCCTGCTATTAAGACATGAATACAATAATCAGCACTCTCAGACATCAAGCAATGAAAAGCTGAAGCTGTCGGTGAAACTGTAACCACCCCCTTTTCTCTCTCAAGCTGCATGCATCTCCACAGTTCAGGAGTTTAGAGCGTGGAGCTGTGGTTGCTGCTGCATGCTGTGATAACTCCTAACACAGGGCTAGTGTCCAGGATGCAGTGCAGGGATTGGACGTAGCTATGGGGCATTGTTCCCAGCATTCTTTTTATCTCCTCTCTCCATGTTCTGACAGGGTGTTAACTGAGCCTCCAAGTGGCTACAACTCCTGGAGCTCTGCAGTATTACTAGACATTTAAGACTATATATGTCCCTGAATCCAATACTGAATTGCACAAGGGGTGCGGATAGAAGTTGGAGAAACACATCCACTATCACGCCACTTATAACTGAGACAGAAGCTGCAACTGATACTAATCAGTAAATCATGAGCACACAGAGAGACTGAATGCAATAGTGAGCCACTGGAGGACATTGCTAATAGTGTTCCTGCAGTAATCATCTCCCCGCAGCAGGGAAGCTATTTCCAAACTCGGGTCTCTTACTTAAACAGCAGGGGGTGTTTGCACCATTTGTTTCAGTGCAAACATCCTAAATCAAATGTTTGCTAATTTTCTTTTTTTGGTTTTCTTCCACTGATACTCCATCGAGCGTTTCCAAACAGCAGGGAAACAGATTTATTTGGAGGGTGATGTCACTGTTAGAAAGTTACGCGTGTGGTCTAGGCATGATTTATGGTATGTTTGGGTTTTATTTCTTAATTTTGAATCACATTTCAAACACATATAAACGAAAAACACCCTCAAGGGCGCACAGATTTTTATTATTATTAGCAACAGATTCAAGTTTTTTTTTCCTTCATGGTTCACATCAATGCTGTCTCTCTATGATTTCACCCAGCTAAATTGCTGAGTCTGCTTATTATCCGGCATTAAAAACCTGGGTCAGACACACCCCCCCCCCCCAGCTGAGCTTTGTTCTGGTTCTCCTCTGAGGAAACCACCCCTCTGGAGTTGATCACAGAGCCTCTCCAGCTGATAGGGGAGAGCCAGAGGTGACCAGCTCAGCAATCCTCAGCCAGCTCCAGCCTGATGATGAGAAGCAGGCATCTCTCACACACACACACACACACACACACACACGCACACACAACAGCGAGGGAAGCATCCTACTCTCATTAGTCCTAGAAAACCACACCGTCTGGGGGAGGTGGGCATGCTGAGTAAGGAAACACATGACGACCTCTGTGAAAAGTACGGATGGATAAACAGAACAGACGAGGGGGGAATAGGGAGACGTTTTGACAGGGAAAGGTCAAAACCAAATTATGCTTATCCAATTCATGTGAAAACACACACTCACACAGATGGAACAGCCTTTTCTGTGGTCCACAACTTTAAAGACGAGGCTCACCATACAGCGGTTCCTTCCCTTACTTCAAAGTCCACAAGTGAATGGCCATTTTGTTAATGTGGTGTGCTATGAGGTTTAATTCCCGCTTATAAATGGCATTATATTAGTGGAAACAGTCTGGAGGCTCAGTTTTTTCCCCCCCGTGCTCGGGAGAGACATTTGGTAAAGTTGGAGTGTAGCGTGGCTGTGGTGTGTAAATGGCTTTTGTTAGCTAGAATGTTATAAGAGCCACCCGAAGCATTAAGGGAGCGGTAAAAGTGGCACGAGAACCCAAAGCCTTATTTATACGTTCAATAAAGAAGAGTGTAAACAGAGGTCTTAATAAAGTGCCATGATCAGCTCCCTTTATGCTCCAGCGTACACAAGGAGGGTTTGTGCCACTTATATTGCCTCCATAAAGTCAATGCTGGTGACGGAAATGTGATACAGACCCATGACTGTTTAGAGTAATTAATTAGTCTTTCCCCAGCAGTGTTGTTAAGAAGAAAATAACTAAATCTATTATGAACTGCCATTGTTTGGTTGTTTTCCTGGTGTATCATACTCACAAAAAGCATGGATTACGTGGTTTGCAGGTCAAAAGGCATCATGGGTTACATTTGATTGCAAGGGTGGGGATATCCCAAGGGGTCACAAGTAAATCAGTCTTTCTGCGTGATGATTGACAAGACCATTTAACACAAGATCAGGTTTATCTGATTTTTATATTTTTGTAACACCTCTTCAGGGTGGAAAACCACTATAACTCGAAGACTGCAGACCCCTGCCAAATGCTCCATCTCTCTAGGTTTTTGAAAGTGAAGAAATTGTGTATGATCCCCATGATTTGAATAAGCTCCGAATGTTATGGGTTCTTATTTGCCCCATGCTTCACTCTTCAACCAACTTTCATGGAAATCTGGCCAGCAGTTTAACCAAAAAGATGATCCTCTTTGGTTGAGGTAATGAACCACATCCTCACAGCTCAAAGACATAATGGAACTTGTGACTAGGGAGGCATTGCTTGTTCATGAATGCTCAAAAGATAAAAAGTTAGTAACCTGCAGTCAAGGTCAGGGGTCAGTGACCACTAAAGCTAAAGCCTAATTGTAGGTCATCATCACCTGTTGAAGATCAATACAGGAATTGGTCAATGTACTGTTTTGGTTGTGAAGATTTGAAAACTCACTATTCTTTAGATATCAGAATATGATGAATATAATACATTCACTTTTTAACCAAAGTTGTCTGTTTCAACCTTGATATCTAGCTGTGTAGCCTGGTGTATTCAATCAGTGCTTGCTAGAGTAGATTACAGTTCCTGATGGTATTTCACAGTCAATCTTTACCTGGTTCTCTCAGCTCTTCAAAATTAATGCATTCTCCACAGCCTATGAGATGCTTGTCCATGGGAACACATGACCTTCCTCAGTTATTTCTCAGATGTCAAGATATCCTTTCTAACTGCCCTTTCCCATTTCAATCTGTTCCACCAAAACAAATCAACAACTGTTCTGCTTTATTAAACCCCAGAGCCTGCTTTCTCGCAACGAATTGTAACTCACTCCTTGACAGGCAACCATGAAATAATATATTCATAACAATCTTTGCTTTTCCGACACAAATGGCATACGGTTCTTTTCATCTTCACACTTGATGAGGCCGTGCCCCACACATGTGCACAGGTCCTTCTGAGATGGAATACAGCAGGCTACACAGACGTACACACATCAATAAATAGCACTCCTAATCACAGTCACCCTTGCCTGATGGCTGGCGCAGGAACAGAACACAAGGACTTACTCCAAAGTCACTTTGACAGCAATTCTCGCCGATCTTGAGAATATGTCAGAGAATTAAATAACAACGCCTTGGGACGTTTGAATGACACTCTTAGTAAACAAAATCCCCTGAATAGTACAATAAAAAGTGTAGAGGAGACACACTTGAGATGATCCCATCATTGTTTGACACGGCTGGACACTGTTTAGTTACGACTCGAAGCGCTAGAAGGAAATGGGCTTGAAATAAGAGCATGTGGAATTAATTATGGCAGAGCAATGAGTCAAACTGGCCTGTTTTAAGCAGAACTATGACACAAGAAAGACAACTAAGGTATTTAAAAACAACTCTTTCCCTGGTAACATATGGAAATGTGTTTTGGATAAAGCAAATCTAATAAAATGATAACTTTTTCTACATTAGGAATAGGAACATGTATCCGCTCCCATTTTCATACAGATTTGGGGGATGTTTTTAATCAGACTGGATTGGGGACATGATCAAGGAAAGGCTCCGAGCCAAAAGTTGGTTCTGACGTCAGCCACAGGAGGAAACTTGGTTAATGTTTGTGGCTATTGCTCATTTAATAATGGGTGATTGACAGGCATACCACAAACTCAATCTCTCCTCAATCAGAGTGGGCAAAATATGCTAATTCAAACCGAACGGTGATTGGGAACAGAATAATAAATGCTACATTGGGAGGACGCTTTTTCATAAATGACCTTGGGGACAAAAGCAATGAACTCTGATGTCTCTCCTTATCTCTTTCTCTCTTTCATCATCACGACTGGGACAAATCAGTATTGTCATAATTGAACATGTCAAAGAATTGAGATACATTCTGGTTCCAAGTGCCAAAGACTTCAAATTGAAAAGCAGTCCAAAACCCAAACATTTCAATTTCAATGTATTATTTTGGAAAGAATAGTCAATACATGATTAGTTTTGTCAGAGTATTATTCATGAACAAGTCATTTTTAAGAAAGAATGCCCACATGATTATGAACCCAGTGTCTCAAAGCAGAACATCCTCATCAAAAAGAATGTCCTTGGGACTCTGGATCACACAGATCAAGCAATTACAGACACCACCTGGGGCTCTAAGAACTTGTGAGGAACATTCATTATTATTTTAAACATTTCTTAAGCTTTAAAATAGACCCTGAATGATTTAAAAAAAGAAAAGCAGAGAATGATCTCATTTCAGAAGCAGGACTTAATGTTCTGTTGATCACTTTAGTCAACTAATCTTCACCTTGCTCCTTGTTTTTGTCCTTGATGTTTCATGGGGATAATCGAGCAAAGGTGAAAAGTGCAAGGTAATCTTGGCTTGAGTCCACGGTAAACATCTGAGCCATTTGGGGAAC